ATGCCCCTCAGATGGCTGCACTGAGGGAGAGCGGTATGAATTCTTTGCAAAAAAGATTTGCAGTCGGTAGGAAAAATTAATCCGTTCTTAAATTCGAACCAAATCTACTAAGTATAAAAGTGAACGAATCTGCCTCCCTCTGTATCAGTGTCCCCCTGAAGCGAAACCGCTTTAGCTGTTGTATAAAATCAGGTTGAAAAGTTTCCTGTAAGTTTTTCTGAAAAATTTCGCAGACCATTGATTGTCAGTACCGGCAGCTGCGTCGATGAAAAAATTTAAAGACAAGATTCAAACGTTATTTAAATTATATCAGGAAATAGCAGTCCCTTTAACCAGTTCGCCAAGAACGAAGAGGATCGTGCGTGATGTTGTTTGTGATTCCTTTGAGCAACATATATCGTTCGTCACTATTCAATCCAGCGATATAAATTGGCTTCTATTCATTAATTTTTATGTACCTTCATGATCACCTCCACAAATTCCAAATTATGATATACACTAGTCTTGGGCAAACAAGAAACGTTTTTCCTGGAGTAAAGCGTCCCTGATATACTATGTTAGTGATGGACCATCTTAGACGGTGTTGATTTGGCAAGATAGTGCGCCTAAAAAACCAAATGTTCATCTTCCGCTCAAATTGAGGGCGATATGACTTAAAAAAGCATTGGAACATCATTTTGCCCTATATTTCATTGGTTTTGATCATCTAGGTCAAGAGCATATTATTTTTGTCTATTTTCTAGCACCAGCGTTCAGCTTCTCTTGCTTCGTAGTGGTTCCTCTGCACAAAATGTTTGTAAATGTTGGCTTGTTTAGTGATTATTATGGATTGTTAACTGCAATCTCTCTTTACGGTTTTGTAGTCAGAATATCCCTTTTGCATGCAGATCATCTTCAAGGCAAAAGGGAGTTAATTATATCAACCCTGGCAACCAGAATCGTCTTGCTGGTTTGCCACGTCAGCCCTTTGTGGCTACTGTAATGGCTCAGGGGAATGTGCATAGCCGTATTTGGGCCGATATATGATCTCGTACTTTGTTCATTGTCTGCTCTTCTCATTGAAGAGCCATGTTTGGATCGCAAGAGCATTGTAGCAGATTGTGTGCAATTAAGGAAGTTATATGCTTAGTTTTAAGCTATGACTTAATTATTTTGATGCAGGTTGCACGTAAACAAAAGAGAGCAAAAGTTTTGCTGGAAGACTTCAAGGTCGGTAGCAAAACAAGTTTGAAAAATTTGTTGAAGCAACGTGGATGAAAATTGCGGAAGATAGAATTTTGTGGCAAAATTGTTAAAGGACTTCCGTCAGTCAGGCTCATAATAATTAAATCGCACGTCTGCCGTGAAAATGACATGCAGCACTTGTCAAATTGCGGAGTTAAAAACTTTTGACTATTTAGGTACGAATCAGTGTCAGTTATTGTAGCGAAATCGAACGTTAAACATTTGCTTACTGAATTTTAGAAAATCTTTAAGTGTATAGGGTCAACCATTCGAAATTTTTTATTTGCACTTTGTCTTCAAAATTTCTTTACCTAATGACCAATGATCTTTGGTTTCAGCACGACTGACGACGAAGACCGCTCCAATCACTTCCAGTTCTACTGAAGCTAAAGGTTTGCTCATTTTCTATTTGTAATCAAGATAGATACAGATATAATTTTATTAATTCAAGGCCTAAAGTCGGTGTGCGATTTGTGCCATGAAAATGCGGAGTGTGTTTATTCACACGGCAGAAACACTTGCCATTGTCTACCCGGATACTTCGGCAACGGCATTGTGTGTGAAGGTAAATTCGTCAGAAATTTACTGCGTATGAAATGAAATGAATCCACAATCGCTGCTTAAGACATGGACGAGTGTAAAGTTAAGGAATCGTTGTGTCATAAACTCGCTATTTGTATCAACACGCCCGGAAGTTATATTTGCCGCTGTCCGCAAGACCACTATGGCGATGGTAAAACGACCTGCATGCCGAACGTATCAACAGTGATCACCGAAGGTAAGCGACACATTCGCGCTCACTACGCATTGAATTAGATTATCATCTTTTAGCCGCAGTGTTGCGCAGTACAACCATGTCCATCAGCGATGCGAAGTTGCGTAAGTACATCACTGAATCGCGTTCTCAGAGTACTACTTAATCGATGGGTTTTACAGAGACCTCGCCGTGCCAGTTGTGCCACGATCACGCGAAATGCACCACTAATCGTAACCAAACCATATGCAACTGTTTACCTGGCTTCGTGGGAGATGGAACTACATGCTTAGGTAATCTGAAAGCTTTTCATAATATTTCGCTTTCCATCTAATTACTGTAATACTGCAAAACCTTACATGTTCAATTAATTTTTAAAGCGTGTTTAAGTACTAATTTACTTACTTGGCTATTTACCTTCTGATTTACTTACCGCTTTGCTTACTAACACTTGCTCACTTTTACATACCTGTCAGCTTAACAACATGCCCGCATTTTCTGTCACCGTTCACCACCGCTTCTTATTCCACATAATGTCCACTGTGATCTTGTGCAAATCCTTGGTGCAGCGAAGTTCAGTCGTTGTCTGTTTGCATTGATGGTTTCATCATTTAATTTTTTTAATCTGTTTCTCGGTCTTTTCCGGCGCACGTTCCGCTAACTGCGAATAACGATGTTGGTCTTTCGCCTGTCGTTACCGATCATGCACAACGTAACTGGTTGTTATGGCTCTTAGTATCTGTTGCCGGTTAGATGAACATGTTTTCAAACATGCACCGAAGCTGACACTCAAAAAAAGTTCCGTTATTAAATGAAGTCGCACCGTAACAGAGAAACATCACTTACATCACATGAAATTATTTACTATAAATTGCTTCCGTTAAACTAACATTCTATGAGTACAGTGAAGAAGGTCAATACCGCTAACGGCGCATTCCATGCTGATCAACTTCAGGCACCCAGTTGCAAGGATCTGACAATGGATCTGGTGGTAGATGGTAGTTGTCTACTGAAATGACATACTGCTCAAGGGGTGCTTATTGTTCTTCGCTTGTAAACGCGGTGAATCGGAAACGAGAATGCTAGCTTCTTTAAACGATGCAGTGTATATTAGATC